TTTATGCATACATTATTCCAAAAGGATTACTGATCCTGTGTTTTAATGAGACTATAGGCCTATCTGTAATTATATGTGTACAGTGTGTGTGTTCAGCATTCTGTACATGACTGTTTTTGTACTTTGTTGTTTTCATTTTTTAAACTGTTTTTGGGAGTGGTCTTTTATTTTTTATTCTTTAATAAAAATCCCTATTTCTGTCTTAAGTGACCATTACTGGTGTTTATGCCATTCTGTTAATGCACAAAGAAAAAAAATTATAGAATTTTACCATTCATAACAAACTGGTGAAAAAACTATCTGTAGTGTCTAAAGTCTCTTCTGAATCACGTGGCTTTTGATGGTAAATAGTGATAACAAATACACACACACACACACACACACACAAAGTATTTCCTTCATTCCGCTCATAGTAAAAACATTTGTCTCAGAGAATTAAGCCACTGGGTGTATAATGGAAAATTGTTTGTGAATGTGTGCTGGGTACTGTATGTATGAGTTATGTTGGAAACACATAACCTAAGATATATAACCAAAATAATCAGTTTTTCAGGACATTATTAATACATATTAAACAACTATTTCCATAAGTTAGAACAATAAAGACAGAGAAACTATCCTGTATATATAAGTATTTCACAGTAAAAGATTAAACCAGCATGATTGGATTATGTATGTCTAAGAAGTTGAAAAATGCGTTGTCATCCCACCTGAATGATGATTTAAATGTCTCTAGAGGCCAGAAAACATTCCAAATTCCAGTAAGGCAGGAGATGAGAGTATGTTTTGGGTCCTCATTACCCATCATACCTTTGAACTTTATTTCGCAGACGAAATGCAACATCACCATACTCCAGCAGATGACAGTGTCTCCTAATATTACAGCACGGATGAACAACGGCATTTTTACCTCTTAGGAATAAATTGCGTTGAACATTTACATTTGAATTTCCACCATAATGTGCACCACTGAAATAATATACTAATACATCTACTGTACTATATATGTGTGTCATTGTATGACTGAACGTAGCTTATATGTCTCATACGAGTTTAAGAAATACATAGTCAATCTCTCCAACTCTTGCTAGTAAAATTAATAAAAACTTTTTTACCAAGAAGTTTAAGGGAAACCATTACTGATTGGAGGAAATGCTGCTATTTTTGTTCTGCCACATCAATGTCACTAAATTCCTCAGTAAATTAAACTAATGGTTTAATCTACCAACACTAACATGGCAAAGACCTAAGATGTTTTAGCACAGGCCACTCTTGTGTAAACATCTCTTGTTTACTCACTGGTCATAAACATTAAATTGGCAGCACATTCTGAAACAGCAAACTTATTTATGGTAAATGTTTTTTAGATTGTTTGGTGTGCCATGTTTTTGGTTGCCAAATGCAGTAGCTTACCATTTTAGCCATAAACCAACATATACACATCTCTTCTGCACTGAATGGAGTATTTAGCACAGAATCAGCCAGAGCCTGCTGGTAGTACATGTTATTGAAGAAGACATTTAACTACCCAAGCACACAAAGGTTGCCAATATACCAAAATGAATCTGAAGCTATGAATTTTGTTAGCTTACACAGATATTATTAGACTCATTATATTATTGATCAGTCACTTTTATTGAATCAGCCCACCACCAGCACCATGACATCTTCAGATATCAAAGATGGTAATGAAATCAACAGTCAGAGAACAGGAGCCAGCCTGCTGAGTGGAAAAATACGAGTGTGTTTGGAAAAATTAGGGCGTTTGCATCCAGCCATTTCAAATTATGATAGTTGACAATGTCCAGTAGAATCATACACTTTTTAAGACACATGCGCCTTCTGGAATATTCTGGAAGGAATTAGTGACAATATGATGTTCACAATAACACAAAAACACCTTTTGTCTCACACACACTTTGAACATTTGTTCTTGTACAGTTGCTCTTATTCATTAAAAAAAATCATATACTTAATGACCAGTGAATGATGTGTCAAAAGTCACATGTTCTTCTTTTAAGAAAATTCAACATATTTTAGATAGAGTTTTAGAGTATTAGATCCAATAAAACTGAATTATGCAAAAACAAGACAGATTTGAACAACCTCCCCACAAAATTATGTAACCACTGCTCTTAATTAATGGCTCTAATATATATTAGACACATGAATTACATTTAAAAGTGAATTTGTGATGCTACACACACACACATACATACATATACATATATATATATATATATATATATATATATATATATAT